CATTTGATGGGAAAATGTCCATTTTATATTCTGGGTTAAAAGAAATTAAATAATTTCATTTGCATTTTTTAAATTAATATTGATACAATATCTATCTATCTATCTATCTATCTATCTATCTATCTATCTATCTATCTATCTATCTATCTATCTATCTATCTATCTATCTGTCTGTCTGTCTATCTATCTATCTATCTATCTATCCATCCATCCATCTTCAGGTTTTATTTAAACCAGAACAATGGCTGACGTCTATTGGCTGTTTGGTAAAAACATTACTTCATGTATAATTAATATTTTTCGAATGCCACGTAGTACCAGTAATAATGTATTCTGTCAATACTGCATTCCATTACAGCCACAGTGAATCATAATGTATAACATATACTAATATGCTGACTGCACTCACACATCTCTGTGTTGTAATGTTTTTCTTTTCCTTCTCTCAGTCCTGCTCAACAGTTGCTCCCCATAATCCCCTCCTTCACTCTTTTCTTTCATTTAGTCTTAACGATCATTACAAAGTTGCCAAGTGTTTAAAATACATTTTAACATATCCTGAAAACGCGTCACTGTCTTCGCTCTTGGATCTATTATTAGGATTTATTATTTAGACCTCCATTGCTGAAAAAAATGAGACTCTGAGGTGTGTCCCTGTTTGTATTTCAGTTGTGGCCACTGAAGCTCATTTGCTTAGTGTTCTGCTCTGTTTGCCTCACCTGGCCACTGCTAGCCCCTCCCTGACTGTGGCCCCACCCTGTCTTCACATCACCTGCATTTGCTATAAATGGGAGCAAACAAAGACACATCTGGATTCTAAAAGGTCCAACCCTAAAGGAGACAATCCGGCTGCAACGTCCAGAGAGTCTTTACTGCACCAGGTGAGGATGACTTCCACAGCAGACCGACTGGCCCATCAGCAGGCCAAGGAGCACGGCATTGGCACCAACAAGAGTGCAGTGAAGTTTAAGGAACAGGACTACGAAGCTTTGAGACAGCAGTGTCTGGAGAGAGGACGTCTCTTTGAGGACAACTACTTCCCGGCTGAGCCCAGGTCTCTGGGCTACAATGACTTGGGGCCTTACTCTCCCAACACCAGAGGACTGGTCTGGAAGAGGCCAACGGTAGGTTACCGCCAAGAAGACTGAAAGAAATCAGCTGTACATCAAACGTTATATTCAACACAGTAATGAACAAGGATGTCACAAATGTTGAGTAAAAATACAAATTTTTGGTCTGTGAAATTACTCCTCAAACTTTACTGACCAAGGTTTTTAATGTCTCTTTAGAAGGATTTGTTTTCCAAGCATTCACAGCTAATAATGCTAACAGGGCTTTTATGTCAAAATAGTGGGTTTTTTTTTCACATAAAATAACCAAAAAGGTTCAAAGATTACAGATTTCCATCTCTGAAGTAAAATATAGTGATAGACGGAGTTTGAATCTGAAAAGCTTTATCCTTCTTTTCTAATTGATTGTCTTAAATATTAATGTTGAATTTTTGATCCAGACATTAATGATTGTCTGTGAAGTTCTGTCGTGAGGTGAAATGGAATCCCTCTTAAAACTTTTATTCAATATTCAACCCTTTGACCTCCTGTGGTTTGATGCTCTGAACAGGAGCTGTGTTCCAGCCCTAAGTTCATCGATAATGGAGCCACGAGAACAGACATTTGCCAGGGAGTTCTGGGTAAGTGTGGAAAACTATAATGGATGAAGAGATATTATCTCGTCTGAAAAGTAACTACAACGTCCCTGCAACAAATCCTCCGCCCATGAGCCATTAATGTTGCAAAACCATTGTTGTTGGTATATGATGTTTACAGCAGTGTTGGAGTGTGGTGAACATTGTATGTTGCTCAATCTCATGACTGTTATCTTCCGTTTACATACAGGTGACTGCTGGCTTCTGGCTGCAATAGCGTCTCTGACCCTGGATAACCAAATTCTGGCTCGTGTGGTTCCTCCTGGACAGAGCTTCACTGAAAACTATGCTGGAATATTCCACTTTCAGGTTGGATGAAAACTGACTTCATAATTTATAATGTTTAACCTTGAAATCTATCCAAAACTATGGTAATGTGTTGATCCATAATTTTACTAAAATTTACCATGTGAAAACTATACATTTCACCCAAAATATATTCTTAGGGACCAGAAATGGGATGTAAAAAAGATATTTTCTCCACTGCAATGTGATCAGGAAAATTTGGCAGTGTTTGTGATTGTAATTATTCATAACTAAATCCATACAGTATGGAGGTACTCTTGTTATTCTACGTATAAATGACTGTTCTTTCCCGTCACTCACATACAAATGTGGTCAATTTTCATCCTAGAATCTTAAATTCACCACAACAAATAATTAGTTTGTGAATTCTGTGTTAAAGTTAAAACAACGACAAGTCTTAACAAACACAGTGGATGTTTTATTAGACAGTAATATTAGACCGACCACACTTGCCACAAAGTATGCAACACAAGGATAACACAGCCCTCTTAAAAGCACAATGCGTGTCACCAACATCCTGCACGGCAACATCTGGTAACAAACAAAAATGTTTTTGCCTTTTTTCCCCATCTCAGTTCTGGCAGTTTGGTGACTGGGTGGATGTGGTGGTGGATGACCGGTTGCCCACCAGAGATGGAAAGCTGCTCTTTGTTCACTCAGCCGAGGGCTCTGAGTTTTGGAGCGCTCTACTTGAGAAGGCCTATGCAAAGTACAAGTTACTCCTGCTGCCTTAATGTTTCTTTACATGTACCGTTGCCGCATATGCAGTTGGTAAATGTGTTTGCGTCTCTTGGATTCTGACAGACTGCATGGCTGCTATGAAGCCCTGTCAGGTGGGAACACCATCGAGGGTTTTGAAGATTTTACAGGCGGCATCTCAGAGATATACACCTTAAATAAAGCTCCACCAAATCTCTTTCAAATTATGCAGAAGGCCCTGAAACTTGGGTCACTCATGGGCTGCTCCATTGACGTAAGCTGTATTTTCATTGGTTTTCATAACAATGTGCAAATAAATCCAGCAACAATTTCATTCTACTGTTGGATTTGGACCAAAGTCTGTGCTTTATGTGTTCTTAGATAAGCAGTGCTTATGAGACGGAGGCAGTCACTTCTCTTAAACTGGTGAAAGGACATGCATACTCAGTTACTGGTGCACAAGAGGTAGACTGTAGTTTGTACTTTCTTATGTACTTTATGTCAGGAACATCACTAACTCTCGCTCTGTATTTCAGGTGAACTACAGAGGTAGAACGGTTCAGCTTGTTCGTGTCAGGAACCCTTGGGGTCAAGTTGAGTGGACAGGGCCTTGGAGTGATGGGTACAGTACATGATTGTATATATCTGTGCCTTCATCATCAGTTTCCACACTTTAATACCTGTTGTTTATAAAACATAGATCCAGGGAATGGAACTACATCAGCAAAGATGAGAAATCAAACTTGAACCACGTGGCAGAAGATGGAGAGTTCTGGTAAAACTTTTTTTTTTAAATCAAATATTAATATATTTTCATTAGGCAGGTTAAAAAGCCACAGTTTGAATAACTCTGTTAAAACTTTTTGGACCACGACAAGTTCAGCACCTTCTTTTTAATGCTAGCAATTGTTTCTTGTGGTATGTATTAAAATTCAAATTAAATTGAGCAATAACAACAAAAAAGTTTGATAAAAGACTTAGTTTCCTGGGAGTTGATCCTGCCACTCTTCATCACTAATTTCTTTTGTGGTTAAGTGGCCGCTGCCATCGCTTTGAAATCATCACTGCCACCTACTGGTATTATTAAAATATGGCAGGACTAAGGATGGACAGGCCAGTGTTCATTTCAGGTGGAGCATTAAAAGGAGAAGGACTATTTTGTACAATTCTATGGTGTATTTAAATAAAACATATGCAAATACAACAGCACATGTTGTGCTTCTTTTCTAAGGATGTCCTACTCAGACTTCATCAGGCATTTCTCCAAGCTGGAGATTTGTAACTTGACCCCGGATACACTGACTAGTGATCAGGTGGGACATTGGAACAATTACCAGTTTGAAGGAATGTGGAGGGTCGGCTCCACCGCTGGAGGCTGCCGCAACCACACGGGTGAGGAAAAGTTCTCGTCCAGTGTGTCACCATGTCATATTTTATATAAAATATACTATCTTTAATGTGTTTCAGCCACATTCTCATCCAACCCTCAGTTTGTTGTACGTCTGGAGGATGTGGACGATGACCCTCTGGACGGGAAGGATGGATGCACATTCCTGGTGGGGCTGATGCAGAAGGACGCACGGAAAAAGAAGCAGCTTCGCCAAGACCTGGAAACCATCGGCTTTGCCATATATAAGGTATTTAGTCTGGGATTTATTTTGGTTAAAATTGCATGTTTGAGTTTTTACATAAGAATAACAATTAATGTAAACTGTCTTTTTTTCTCACAGGTCCCAGATGAGGTCAGTACTGGTCACCACAGGAGTGGGTTAACACATAAACAGCCATAAAGTTTTAAGTTGACCCAAAATTCTAAGATTAAGGCCTGAATTCTGAAAAACCTAAAAAGTACAAGTTAAAAATCAGACTTTAATTTAAATTAAAGACTTTGTGTAGCTTTTAAATATATCAAATTGGTTTTAATCAACCTTGGAATTCTTTGCTATGACCCTTCAGGAGAAGTAAGTTTTACTTTGTCTGTTGACCCTCAGTACAAAGGGTGCAGCAATGTCCATCTGGGCCCAGATGTTCTTCTACGCCAAAGAGCAGTGGCCATGAGCAGCACCTTCATCAACATGCGTGAAGTGTGTGACCGTTTCCGACTTCCTCCGGGGGAATACGCCATCGTGCCATCAACCTTTGACCCCCACAAGAATGGCAGCTTCATTCTCAGGGTGTTCTCAGAGAAACAGGCTGGTACCAGGTACTATTAGAATGACGACCGAATGATGACATTAGAGTTGAAGACTGTAGTTTTTACTGCCATCTAGTGGTCAACTTCTTATTAAAGGAGAAAGTAGTTTAGCAGATTAAACTGTGGCAGAGTGGTTTGAGCTCTGGTATTACCACCAGAAACTCACTGTTTCGATTCTGACTGAAGTAACTGAAGATGTTTCTGTACAGTGTTTGTGTGTAATAATCTAACTTAACTGTATTCACAATGTTGTTCCTGTAGAGGGGGGAAAAGCAACAGAGGATGAACTTAGTATGTAATTAGTTGTAATGTTCTTGCACACCAACAGAGTGTGCTCTAACTGCGTTTGTGTTTTTCAGTCCACTGGAGGAAGATATTGATGCTAAAGTAGAAGACGTAAGAAAAACAAACCAATATTAATAACAATCGGTCTTAAGGTCATAAATGGTCAACAATAAAACAGACAAACATTAATGACTAACACTATGTCCTCACAGGAAGAAATATCTGAGAGTGACGTGGATCCTCATTTCAAACGGCTCTTCAAGCAGATCGCGGGCAATGTAGGTAGAAGAACATTGAACGTCAAATCATCAAATATAACAATAAACAATTATTAAACACGTTTCTTTTTCATGCAGGACATGGAGGTCTCTGTCTTTGAGCTGGTCAGAATTTTGAACAACGTCATGTCCCACCGTAGGTGTTTAGAATAAATTTAGATATTGTCAATATTAATTTTGGCACTGACTTTGTTTTGTTACGCTCTTTCAGGCTCTGATATCAAGACAGACGGTTTCAGCCTAGAAACGGCCCGGCTTATTGTCAGCCTTATGGATGTATCCTCTTTAAAATTGGTAACAAAATATTTACGGTATACACAGTGGGTGGGTTAGTTAGCTGGATAGATAAATAAGCCTTAACATTTTCAAGAAAGACGAAAGTTCCATGTTGGGACTGATGGAATTCCATCTGCTTTGGCACAAAATCCAAAAATACCTGGTAAGAAGTGATGAATTTGGTCTGAGATTAAATATAATCATGCCATAAATACAGTACCTGGACGCACTTGTCCTAACAACACACCTCCTGTGTTTCCTGGTCGTACAGGAGATCTTCAAGCATCACGACACGGACAACTCTGGTACCATGAGCTCACATGAGATGAGAGCAGCTGCAACAGAAGCAGGTTCTTCTAATATCATCATTCTCTGCTTTAGACACTATGGAATATATCTCTTCAACTAGAAGGGAGTTGTAAAATGTCTTTAATATTTTTCCTGCCATATTGACAGAGACATGTAGCATGAGTCTTGTACGAACATTACTTATTATTTTGAATTCAATACTAATCTTTTCAAGTACTACACGTGTTCATATGCTGTTTTGATTTTAAATATCTTTCTCAGTCCCAGCAGTGGCTTGTAACCCCCCTTTTGAATACCTAGTGACAGAACTTTATTAATAATCTTATGTGTAGAAGCATATCATATAATTATTATCTTGTATTTAGATATATACAACATAAACGCAGAAGAGTTCAGGTTCATTTCCACATAGTCCCAGATCTCAGGTAGGATTGTGTCAGAAATGGTTGTTCAGATGAAAAATTAAAAGTCACTCGGTGGAAAACAGCCTGTTTCTGAGACATCACTTACAGTATATCCCTAATGGAATACGTTGAATGCATGGCCAGTTGGTATGGAGACTGCTTCTATTTTCTCTGACCTAAAGACGTCACAGCACTCTGGCTATCCTCCTTCTGTCTCACACTCATGCTAATGGCATGTTATATCCTATGTCTCACACTCATGCTAATGGCATGTTTACAAAATATCACAGAGAAAGGCAGAAACAAAGTTCTATCATTTGCTGCTATGTGTTTGTTTGCATCAGCCAGTGGCTGCTGGACTGGACCAACCAGTCTGACTCCCTCCCTGCACTACATCTGTACTTTAACTCAGACTGGTACAGGCGAGGCGATGTAACATGACTCAGTCATTGCTATTATCTGACGCATTTTTTAAAAATCTCTCCCCTGAATGAGAAAAGAAAAAACACTGTCTCTGTTTTTGTCCATCGCAGGTTTTCATGTGAACAGCGCTGTGCTGCAGGCCATCGTCAGCCGTTACGCTGACGCTCAGTACGCTATAGATTTTGACAGTTTTGTAGGCTGTCTCATCAAACTGGAAATGCTGTTCAGTGCGTATCAGCAAACACACACACACACACAGAGAGACAACTACTGTATCGTCAACACCTTTGCATAAACAACACTTTGCTTGTCTGTTTTTTCCATCAGAGATGTTTAAGGCTCTGGAAAGACATGACTCAGGGAAGATTGAGCTGGATATGCAGCAGGTGAGTGAGACGATAAGCCAAACTGCAGACGCTCCCACTGCACACGTCTTGTTGAATAACTTCCTTCTGTCTGTGTTTTCAATCACAGTGGCTGTGCCTAGCCATCTACTAGCTCTGGAAGCACCTGGTTATCACGACAGAAAGACGAAGACTATGGACAGTTAGTAAATGAGTATATGAAGCACTTTTAGTAGAAGTTGCATGATTGACATTTTTTATACGGGAGCGCCCTTTTTAAGATGTCTTGTGATCCAGTTAACGTCAGAATGACCCAATCAAATTAATCAGTGATAGTTATACTGTTGCTCTTCTTCACATTAATATTTTACACAAGCTGGTAAATAATAATTACTGAATCAGGCTGCATCAAAATAAAGAACTATGACTGTATGTTCATTAGCAGATCAGACTTATTTCAAGTAGTAAAGCACACCCAACTCATTCCTCATGATTTATGTATGACAAATGTTCTATAGTTCAATTGAAAAAATTACCAATGTTCACGGGATGTTCATTTACTCATTGTACTTGATATATAATTCGTTTCTCGATTAAATAAAAAAAGCTAGAGCATTCAAGAATTTTGGAGTTTGTTTCTAAACATAGAATGTAGCTTTGCCTTCTCTCCTGCAGGGGGAGAATTTCCATCTGAACAAAAAAGTTCCAGTCAGTCATTGTGTGAAGGTGGAGTACATCCTGGACAGTTCTCCAGTTCATCCTGCAGGCCCACAACCACTCTCAAATTTACCTGTGGTCAACTCATGGTGTCCCTAATTCCAGATTGGGGTTAAGATTATTCCTAATCTGCATAATTTTGGACTGTGGGAGGAGCCAGAGATCATGGACATGGAGAACTTCCAGACTCCATACACAAGAACAATAATTTACAACAAGGAACTGAACCAGTGATTTAAGGAAAGATAACTAATAAGCCTCCTCATATATGATATTTACGTTCTATTATATTTATATATACAGTATATAATTATATATATTAAATATGCAGACAGTTTTATAGAATGTAAAAAACAAAAACAAAATTAACTAATCAATATGTTGTATTTAAATTATTAAATTTGTCAATTAAATTGAAATTAATTGAATTCATGGAACTTTTCAGACTTTCTTTCACGTCAAAAATATCATGTTAAAATTACAGTTATCCCTTTGTTTCTCAAAAACCTGATATTAACTTCAATATTAACTTTCTTTTTTATATAATACTCCAGGTTTTTCTTTTTTTCTTTCAGAACTCTAAAAATGAGTTCCACATTCTGGCTCTAGTGTAAAAACTCTGACTCTATCCGACGAAACCTTAAAAATTCTCTCTCTACTTCGAATATAAAAGCCTGAATAATAATAAGGTTCAAGTTCAGTTCCACGGAGTGTGCGCTGCATCCGCGCCACAAGGGCAGGATGAGAGCAGGTGTGCCAGAACCTCGACAACAAGCAGCCAGAGCTGAGGGTGTGGACACTGTCAGTGTGCGTTCAAATGACAGAGACAGCCACACGCACACACACCTGAGCACAGGGAGAACGACAACCTGCTCCATCCTCCTGTCAACTGTCAGAAATCATGTCCGGCATCGCTGCAAAGCTTCAGCACAACCGGGAGAAAGCGCAAGGGATCGGAGCCAACGACCATGCGGTGAAATACCTGAACCAGGACTTCGAGTCTCTGCGGAGCGGCTGCCTGGAGAGAGGGCGGCTGTTCGAGGACGACTGCTTCGAGGCGCTGCCTTCATCGTTGGGCTTCAATGAGCTGGGGCCGAACTCTCATAAAGTGCGAGGCATCAAGTGGATGAGACCCACGGTGGGTGCGTGAGTGGGTCCTGTGGTGATGACGTAGAAAGATGATAACATTTTAGTGTTAGAACACAACAGTCGAATTGACTTTATGACTAAAACAATTATAATCCTATCAAGTTATAATCCTATAATCACACACATAAGGTTGGATTGTCTGTAGTCCTGTTGTCTACATTGTCATTCATATTCTACACTAATATGTATAGATTGTTTATTATAACTTTATATAACTTTATATTATATTGTTATTATATCTAGAATATACGTTCCTACATATACATATGTGTAGAAATATGTATATATGTATGAATGGAGAAAGATAAGATGGGATAGGATAACATAAGTTTATAGAATATTTCATTTCATTTTTTATCATTTGGCAATTTAAGATCAAAAACGTGAAATTATCGATGTAATGCAAATTACTCATTAATTACAGCCAAGTATTTTAATAATGTAACTGTATAATGAGTGAACTTCTTCATTTGTCCTGCAGGAGTTGTGTTCTAATCCAAAATTCATCGTAGAAAATGCTACCAGGACTGACATTTGTCAAGGAGCCCTTGGTGAGTCACACCAGTTTTGAATATTTCAGAAGATGAGTACATTCTAGATACCTTTTAGATCTATGTTAGAAGGGGCGTGGCCCTGTCTGTGTACTCCTGGTGGACATCCTGATGATCGGGATTCTTTTTCTGGCGTCTGTTTGTAAGTGTAACGACTGACTAATTCCCAGGTACTGAAAGCAGCAAAACCACTCACGACAGCTCCTTCAGTTTTACTCTGTCAACACCCAGTCTGACTAAAAACACATGAGTGTGTGTGTGTGTGTGTGTGTGTGTGTGTGTGTGTGTGTGTGTGTGAGAAGGAGGCAGGCATTGGCAGCTGATGAACAATGTGGTGAATTTAGAGTGTTAACAGAGCACAGATGAGGTGTATATAGAACTATGTTGCATTTATGTCGTATTTCTGTCTGTACCAGTTTCCTCCCATAGTCCAAAAACATGGAGCCTTATGTGATTGGACAATATAATATTGATGGACGGATGGATGGTGTTAGTGTTTGTGGAATTGGTTGTTTGTCTCCAAACAGTATGTGCACCTGTAACAGAGTGGTGAACTGTTGAGGGCGGGGCCAGAGCTCGCCCAATGACTGCTGTGATTGGAATCCACATTTGCAGTTTCCTTGTAATATTGCAAGAATAATATTCACCAAACAAGAACAACATGATCACCTTACTTGTACTACTTACTATTACTACATCTTAAGACATGAAATGGGTTCCACACTGGAAATGCAGGGACATTTGTATTTTTAAGTTTTAAGTTTTTTAGTTCTTAAGGGTGTTTTGTTTTGTCACCTTTTATTTTTAACCACAGAAAGTTTAGTCAAAGTGTTGGTCATTTAAGAACGGGGAAAATATATGTATCAGCTGTTTGCACTACAGTAAGTATTTACATTACACATATTTATATTACACATAGCTACTTAAAAAACATCTGCCTGATGATGATGGGGCCCTCAGGTCATTGGAGCTTGAGACCCCTGGTTTACAGCTAAGTTAAATCTATTTTGTTTGTTTGTTTGTAGGTGACTGCTGGCTCCTCGCAGCCATTGCTTCCTTGACTCTTAATAAGCAGGTTTTGTCTCGGGTCGTCCCCCACGACCAGAGCTATGACAGGAACTACGCTGGAATCTTTCACTTTGAGGTACAGTCATTGGACTCTATGTGTTAACTCAAAGACGAAAAAGAAACAGGTTTGACTCAGTTGAATTCTTTCTCTCTCTGGCTCTCAGTTCTGGCAGTTTGGTGAGTGGGTGGATGTGGTGGTCGATGACCGTTTGCCTACCAAAGATGGAAAGCTGCTGTTCGTCCACTCAGAGGACAACACAGAGTTCTGGAGTGCACTGCTGGAGAAGGCTTATGCCAAGTATGCAGGGTTATCAGATCTGTCTTTGTCAGTGTCTACTGTACCTCAGCCCTAACTTTCATTTCTTTAGGCTGAATGGATGCTACGAGGCTCTCTCCGGTGGCAGCACCATTGAAGGATTTGAGGACTTCACTGGAGGCATCGCTGAGAGTCATGACCTGCGAAGGGCAGACCCTCATCTCTTTCACATCATTGACAAGGCTCTGCAGAGAGGCTCTCTTCTGGGATGCTCCATCGACGTGTGTTTCAAATACGCTCTGTGTGTGAACCTCTGAATGTCGTAGTACTGTTGGTAACGTGTGTATTTTATTTTACTGCATCCCAGATCACCAATGCACGTGACTCAGAGGCCATCACAGACAGTAATCTGGTGAAGGGCCATGCATATTCCATCACAGGAGTGGAGCAGGTGAGCACGTGTCTATATGTGACATTTAGTTCATGTGAAACTGGAGCGACTGCCATATTAAGTTTGACATTTGATTATGTGTCAGGTGGAGTACAGAGGAGACACGGAGAGGTTGATCAGAATCAGAAACCCATGGGGACAGGTGGAGTGGAACGGAGCCTGGAGTGACAGGTAAACGTTGGTTACTCAACTAAATTACTTTTATCATTTTTCATCATTTTCCTCTAATGTTATAAAATTCACAAGTCTAAAATTTTGAACTTTTTGAACTTCTTGTATGAAACAGCAATAAAAAAAACACATAAGTTATTATTAAATGTTATTTTTCCCTTAAGAGCCACATAGAGAACATGACACCAGCTTAACACTGAACAGTAACAGGATATCAGCAAAGTCTCTCTAGGGAGATTTCCAGCTGACGTAGGAACAGGACGGCTCATAATTAAACTTACATCATTTGCCTGAGAACTCCATTTGTCTACAATTTGCCTTTGTTTTGACTAAATTGTAGATATTACGTGGTAAACTGTAAGATATGAAGATTAACTGGTATTTATTATTTGGCTCATGTAAACAAACTTCTTTTTAACTATTTTAGTATGACTTTAATGCTCTGATTTGTTTTGGGCCATTTAGTGGCATCAAGAGGTATTACAGTCAATTCTTTGTAATTCATGTAACAGAAAAGTTGACATCAGTCTTTACCGTACCTGGAGCCAGTGTTTGGGGGGTCGGACTTAAAAGCCTGGTGGGTCGCATCTGGCCCAGGGGCCGTAGTTTGCCCAGGTCTGTAATAAAGTCAACAAAAACACAACATTAGCATTAATATGACACTGGCATTTCAAAAGAAGACTCCTATTTAAAACCTGTATTCCACTCGAGGCGTTAAGCTGTGTTTCCCTGACATGCATGTAAAAAAAAAACCACACAAGTACACACCCAGTGGAATGGCTGCTAAGAGGGTTCAGAACATGGGTGGAGAAGTGTTAAGTGGGTTCAGAACATGGGTGGAGAAGTGTTTGGCACATAGACCTGTTCAGCTTCACCACTCCTCACAGTTCTCATCTCAGAGAGGGAACCTGCTTAAAATTAAAAAAGACAAACTTTCTACAAAGTTTCGTTTTCCCTTTCAGTTCTTATCAGTGGAGATACGTCAGTGATGATGACCGAGAGAGGCTGACCAAACGGGATGATGGCGAATTTTGGTAAGTTTCAAGCTTTACATTTTTGAGGATCCAAAATTGACGTGTAGGTTTCAGTTGTTCCCCTGAATGTGATTAAAAAGACATTAAAAAAAACAACAACTTTGAAACTTGATATTTCGACTAAATGACCTTGTCTATGGGCTTTAAGAAATTATTGGGAATTTTTCCACAAACATTATGAGTAATTCAAAATTCAAAGGATGCAGTGGCAATGTATTACCTTCTATTATTTTATAAGAAGCAGACTATATTTTGTTAATTTTCAAAATGCCTCATAGTCATGAGAGTTTTAGCAACTGCACAACAGATGAAAAAAATCTTTGTTCAAATCTTTGTTCAACAGGATGTCATTTTCTGACTTCCTGGACAATTATTCCCGCATCGAGATCTGCAACCTCACCCCCGATGCCCTCACTGGTCAGGAGTACAAGAAATGGTCAGAGACGGAGTTTGAGGAATCCTGGAGAAGTGGCGTTTCAGCTGGTGGCTGCAGAAACTATCCACGTATGAGCAGTTTTAACATCTTGATCTGAGAATCTTTTCATTCCCAGGTTTCTGTACCATTAACAACCACAGAAACCTCGCCGACAAAAGCTGTGCTTGTCTAGGTTCCTTCTGGCAAAATCCTCAGTTTGTCATAAAGTTGGATGAAGTGGACGATGACCCCGATGACGGCGAGGAGGAGGGCTGCACCGTCATAGTGGGCTTGATGCAGAAGAACAAGCGTCGCATGAGAAAAATGGGCGAGGACATGGAGACAATTGGTTTCGCCATCTATGAGGTGAGGAGACGTTGGTGACGTGACAGCTGAAGTGACAAAATCCACCTTCAACGGCTCATGGTTGCTTTATTTTTTTCCAGCTTCCGGAGGAGGTATGCACACACAGATGAAGACACAAACAAGGAGTATTTAAATGATCCGTCAGGTTTCACCTCTGGAAATGGTTCTGCAAAGCCTTAAGCAGTAGGCAATATACTGCGTTCTTATTTGACAATACTGTTGTGTGTCTTCTTCCAGTACTACGGTAAAAGGCAGGTGCACCTGAAAGAACAGTTCTTCCTCAGGAACTTCTCAGCAGCTCGCTCTGAGACCTTCATCAACCTGCGGGAGGTGTCCAACCGCTTCTGCCTCCCCCCGGGGGAATACCTCATCGTTCCCTCGACCTTTGAGCCGTACAAGAATGGAGATTTTTACTTGAGGGTGTTCTCAGAGAAACCCGCTGACTTCCAGTAAGTTTGTTTTGCCTGGTAAAAGAACATGTTTTTTGCAGCACTGGTTCTATCCTCATCATTAATGCTTCTTTTTGATGACAGAGAGATAGATGATCCAGTGGAAAGCCACGTGGAGGAGGTACGACACAGTCCAGTATCTTTGTGTTTAATAAGGTTGGAATAAATGGAATAAACCTGACTCTCTGGTGCACAGATTGAGATTGATGAGGACGACATCAGCGCCAAATTCAAGTCGCTGTTCGGACAGCTGGCCGGACATGTTAGTGAGCTTGACATTGAACAAAACGTATCAATAATGAAAGCGGTTAAAGCCGCTGTGCTGCAGGTTATCATTATGTCGTATGCTTTCAGGACGTAGAGATTTGTGCACTAGAGCTTCAGAAGATTCTCAACAAAGTCGTGACAAGAAGTAAGAGACGCTTGTCACTTTCCTGTTGCAAGATTTTATGTAAACTTGGCAACATATGTCTGAACCTTATCTGTTTCCAGGAAGTGACATCAAAACAAATGGATTTAGTAAGATCACGTGTCACAACATGGTCCAGCTGCTGGATGTATCCTTCTCTTTCTTTAGTTTAAGAAAAAAAGGAAAACACGTGAGGCACCAGGGAGCACAAGGTGACAGACCTGAACCGTGGACTCACAGGTGAAGGAGGAAGGGAGTATTTATACCCAGGGCACCAGGTGAGATGAGTGAGACTGATGAACAGGGAACCACAGGTGAGGGTGATAAAACTGATCAACCATGGAGACACAGACTGACAGAAGGGCTGAGAGACAGACTGACTTGACACTGTCAGCACAGGAGTGTAGCCAAATGAGCCAAGACAGAACTAGTGGCACTTTGGCCCAGAGGCAATGTCTCTGTCATTGGTGGCAAGTTCAAATCCCGGTTAGGGCGGTTGGTACCTTCCAGTGGACTCACCCCCCGCAGGAAGGTTTAGGGGGGTTGGTACGGTACAATGTGATTTGGGTGGTGACGGCAGCCTCACGACCCGGTAAAGGATAAGCGGATGAAAATGGATGGATGGATGGATGGATAGACAGAACTAAAGTCTAAAATAGCTAAATGGCATGCAAAAATATAGGTATGCTATGCTAACTGATATACAAAATGTAATTCAAGGTTAGCAGAGCCTCAGTTAAAATGTAGCTACAGTGTAACAAAAACTATAACAGACTTGCTTACCAAAAACTAAGGACACTATTGTTTATTTTTGGCTTATTTTCTTACTCCTTTTTACTATTTTAATAATAAATATTCAAATATTAGAACTTACTCTGCTGGTCGTTTGCAAAAAACAAATGCCGGGCATCTGTAAGAACTGATTCCCATTTGGAAAAATATCATTTTTATTTAACACTGTCCTTAAAGAAAGATGGAACTGGCAAACTGGGACTGGTGGAATTTAAGATCCTGTGGACAAAGATAGAAAAATACCTGGTGGGTTTCAGTATTATTTTGGATGCACATTAACATCTGCACACAGCAGTGGAATGTTTGGCACATAAACGTGTTCTTGGCTCTGCATCAGGATCTGTACAAATCCAGAGACACAGACGGCAGTGGCTGTATGAGTTCCTCTGAAATGCGGATGGCTGTCGAGGATGCAGGTAATGCAGTGATTTCTTTTTTTTTTTTTTTAGGGTATTGATGATGCTGAAATGTGTGACACGTGTTCCATCTGTATTGTATCCTGACAGGATTCAGTCTGAACAACGCTCTACATCAGATTGTTGTGGCGCGCTACAGCGACCACAACTCCATTGACTTTGACAATTTTGTCTGTTGCCTGATTCGCTTGGAGTCACAGTTCAGTGAGTGTCACACCGTGTCTGTGTGTTCTGTGGTGCGGCTGGTGAACAACGTCATCGTCATCATTGTGTGTGTTGTTCTTGTGTTTTTAACAGACACGTTCAAGGTCTTGGACAAAGACGGGACTGGTACGATAGAGCTAGGCTTCATGGAGGTAAGATGGAGGCGTCAGAAAAATCTGAAATCAGTGATGTTAAAGTTAATGACCTATAACTGTGTGTGTGTTCTTTGTTCACAGTGGCTCAATTTTGCGATGTCTTAGAAGAGATTAATGAAGATTAACAGTGGAAGAATCTAGATTTTGTATTAAAAATCATTACAAAAGTATCCTGCTAAATGTTAGCGTCTTCTTTAACCAGTGTGTTTTATTCCATCCATTTTATTCCATAATTAAAAAAACAGTTTTACAACTCCAGTGTTTGTGATGCTTTTTTAAATTACTAGTCCAACACAGTGGAAATGTTTTTTTCTATGCGTTAGCATTAACACTTTGTACGCTGAGGTGGGATAACAGAGCACATCTGTTTAAACTTGCAAAATGTGTCTAAGTTGTTTCCACAGCACACTAAAATGAAGCAAAAAACATAAAGGCGGTTTAAGATTACACTGATAATAAGTTTAAGCTAAAGGTTAGCGTTAAAAGTGACACATTATATCTTTAAAATATCAACATTGTACACTAACGTGACCTGCCAATTAAATGACAATGGCAACAGTGGCCCTCGGTTGATTTGAGTTTGAACTTTGGTGTTAGCAAAGAACTATAACATTAATGTTGGCTTTGAAGACAATGGCATGATGACCCTGTTGCAGCTTAACTACAGTATTCGACACAGTTGCCTTGAAATAGCTCTGGATTTATTTCTTAAAGTATTTTTCCCACCCTGGTGTGGATTACAAAAATTAGACCTGGTCTGAAAATAACAGTTCTTCAGAAAAAAGAAAAGAAAAAATGTGCACGACTGTTGGAAAAAAACAAACAAATAATACATTATTAAGAGATGATTTCTGTGAGGTGGAAACACTTTTCTGTGTCAGGGCCATTACTCTGAGAGGTAGATTTGTCACTAACACCTCAGAGCACTTCACTAACCACACCCAACAATAGTCCAACACACTGGAAACCTGAGCCTGAGTACGGACAATGATGTTCCTCCATGTTAACAGTGTTGGGTTTCTGATGACAGACAAGTGCTGGAGTGAACCAGTGAAAGTAAGTCTTCAACTGAGGTTTCATTAACAACCATTACATTTCATCACAATGTGTGTGTGCTGTGCATCTCGGTCTACAAGTGTTTGTTATCTATGTGTGAGACCAATGTTGATTTGAAATGAAGAAAAAAAAGGCAGCTGTGACCAGCATGAAGGACTTCTGGGTTGGTTCATTGCATATTCACTACTTAATCCTTTTTGGATTGATTCCCAGTTATAGACTGAAGGCAGAGGTAAACAGTGGATGGCTCACCATGACAACAAAGAAAAACATTCACAATGACACCGACACTAAAATCTGTGGCGAGTGACCAATTTACCTAAACCTGCTTGGTTTTGGACAACAGGAAACCAGAGTAGCTGCAGAAAACAAACAAACAAACAAACAACAACACACTAAGGTCTTAATTGACTTACAGTAAAAGTCCATGAAATTATCCCAACCGCACACACGAACCCTGTAACAGGAAAAATGGAAAAAACAGTGAATATCGTTAAATTATATTTATATATTAAAATATAATATTAAAATTATATTATAGAAAAAGAGCAGAATGTGTTCTCAATTATTATCCTTGTTATTATTATTATTATTAATATTATTTTTACTACTATTACTAATACTACTAATAATAACAACTACTTATAATAACTTACGTGACAGTGGGGGAGAAAAACTATCTTTGAAGAGAGGCAGTTGCGGCTGTTATATTGTAAACTGTACAGTCGTAGAAACAACCACAGCCAATCAAACTGGTATTAATATAAATTAACAACATTATTAATGTTGACAGCAGCGTCAGGTCACTGGAGCTTTTGACATAAGGACGAACGGTTAACAAGAATCAAACGTTGACATTCTTGCTGTAAGGCAAGAGCACCAACCACTCTTTTCCCGTCCTTTAATTTCTTGATTTCAGTATTTAGATTTGACTTGACCTGATGAGTGGTTGTTTAAATTGTTGTAGCTCAGAATATCTCGTGTTTTTTCCCTTCACTCCTGAGAGTATTGTGATGTCTTTTCCAGCAGATGTCAGCGTTCTCACAGACTTTGAGTTTGCTGCCTACATTTCACAGACAGGGTTGTGGCCAGACTTGCAGTAACATGCATTTTCAACTACCACAGGGAATGTGTGCAACGATTTCCTGCCTCCTGTGGCTCACAGCTCCTCCAGCTGCCATTAGCTGTGAAAGACCATCATAGGCTAACACGCTGGTTATGAAAATAAAGACAAAAACAAAATGAAGGCATGAAATACCAGGATGAACGTTTGCAGTGGCTGCAGTGTTTTCATGCAGTACTGTAGACTCAGCTGTGACGTGCTGCCATTTAAACTCCCTGCTTTCTGGAACAGGATGTGGGACGGGCTTCTCTGACTGTAAACCACAGACTCACAGGGGAAGATGAGTAGTGGTGACACTGAAACAGAGACTTTGGATGTAAAAATAGTCCATCCATCATTATTGGCATCCATAATCTCTCAGCCAAAAATAGCATGAAGAATTTCATTCACACTTTTACCAGTAAGCCAGGTCGGAGGACTGAACAGGAAGAGACGCCATTTAAAATGGCCGCTTCCGTAATTTTATACTGGATTAACAACGTCAATGCCGCGGATGTGATGTTGAAATTATTATGAATAGATAAGTAAGATGTACATTTTACCTAAATGACAGTACACATTCTGGGCATGAGGATTTTAAATAGTAAAATAAAATATCAATCTGGTTATAAAACAGTATGCTATAAAATGTAAACACAAAATGTTTCTTTATTATTATTTGGTTCAGCCTTGGTGGAGACATACATTATCAGGTTGGTGTGACAATCACAGGAGTCATCAGACCAGGATGGAGTCTCTCACTGGGCCACAAGACCAACAACCAGTCACACTCACACCTGTGGTCAATTGACTGGGTGAACCTTCATGTTTGTTTGGACTGAGGAGAGAAAACCCAAAAACTCCATACAGAAAGACTTATCATTGGGGATCAAACCAGGGACATTCTTGCTGTGAGGCAAGAATGTGTGGGTGGTGGGCTTACATTAACAATACAAAGTAAAGGAGGTTTAACAAATACCATTGACAGCTCCAGCCACTCTCCAATTGTGAGTCTTCACCAAATACCTTCTGTTTTCTCCTTCTCTTTTGGTCTCGCAAACAAACCTCCAACTTACCTATGTTGTACTAAAGTTGGGTAGTTTTGCAACCACTGCGTCCTAATTCTCTGCTACTGTAATAAACAGACACGTCAGGTAGTAACTCTATAATCAAACTCCCCATTTTATCGCTGCCTCCCTGTCAACCGCTGAGACTGGACAATTATTGAAAGTTTACAAACTAAATTTCGTATCACCTCCTCTGGTGCATATGACAATAAAGATTCCTTCCTTCCTTCCTTCCTTCCTTCATTCCTTCCTTCCTTCGTTCCTTCCTTCCTTCCTTCCTTATTGCGCAGTCTTCTAAGAACCCAAGAAACGACATTCATATTTTTTCAGTTCTGGAGATCGGGCTGACACGTGGGAGTGGATTGCGACCAATCACGTTCATGAACATCTGACTACCGACTGCTGGAATTTGGTGCGGATGAAACATGTCTCTCTCCTCAGGTAGACAGATCAATCCTTTTGGCGTATCTGAGCGCTCATCCTGCCTTTTACCTTATAAGGAAACTGAAACGCTTCGGAGAAGGAGATGAGCTGAAAATATGGACAGGTTTGTTCTCCATATAAGGGCGTCATGTGCCACTCCCACCCATGACTGCCCTGGAGCTTTTTTTGGGTTCTCACCTGAACAGTAACTGGGCTGAAGCCGATAATACTGAGCGATGAAAATGACACTTGTTCTGCAACAGACATCTGAAGACATTATCGTCGATGGCACCTGGTTGTGATCGTCATTTTAATGTGCATTAATGCATTCAGCGTTGCTGAGGCTGCAGCTCTAAAGTGTCACACCTGTGGACGGGGAGGTGGACCTGAGTGTGGAGGTGTGCTCATTTGCCACTGCTCCTGCTCCTCCTCCTTCTCCTGCTGTGAGTCAACCTGCTCTCCTTCTTTATGACTCTTGAGCATTGAGACTGCTGCTGCCATTTGTTCCCTGCTGCCTGCTCTTTCACACCTCCAAAGCAAAAATGGTGAGTAACACAAAAATGACTGGACTCACTGCTGCCACACTTTGTCCTGGGCATGATTTGTAGTCACACCCTGACATGGAGTGCACTCCTAAAATGTGTTTCCTCGCCTTTAAGATGTGTTTGATAGAAAAGGGTTTAATACTGTGTGTAGTTACAGAGGTAAGAGCTTTTTTTAAGAGTGATGAGGAAAAACTGGTTTGCGAAGGGCTGTTAGGCAGTGTACACGTAAAGGGTTAGTTTTTAAGGTGTGGTTTTGTCGTCAAAATGGAGTGAGCTTTGTCAGTGCCTGAAACTTGTTTGGAGAGAATGCTTTAGGGCGGTCTTTCTTGTACCAACTCGTTTCACAATGACTGGAATGTGATAGTCAGGGCCTTGGAAATTCACAGCGAAGCTCAAATTTGTAGCATTTAACTGTTCAAAAGAAGTGCTGTTAAAAATATCAGGCATTTCACTTCTCTCCAAATTCAAGTTTTCAACAACTTCCTGTTTCTTTTTTTTTTCAGTTCTGCTTTTTACCTGTGGACAAAAGTCCAGGTCAATATGAGAGAGAAAATCAACAGAGACACACATTTATCATGCCTGTGTTTAGGCTTTTGATTGTCATATAACATTTTTGATAGGATTTATTCATTTATGAATATGCTCAAGTGGAAAATCGGACTGAAATTTCTGATACATTTTAAAAAATATAACCATAGAAGATACACCTTGTTTCTTTTATGTAAAACCAAAATCTTGTTAAATGAATATCAAACAGCAGTGTGTCTGACTGTGCTGTTCCATTTTTGTTTTCTCAAAAACAGACATCTGGATCAGGGGCCAAAGTGGCCGAGCAAGTGATACACATCTTCGACAAAATGCGTTTAACCAAGGCAGACAACAACCCACGGGATCGTCCAAGAATTGTTGTATTGCATCATCATGGTGGTGTCATTGATGTGGAGCCAGAAAAAATTTTCCGGCAAAAGGATTTGGAAGCTGTGGATGATGTGTTTATGTTCTTGATGAACATGCTAAATGTAAAGGAATGNTTTGAAACCCATGAAACACCCAAAACGGAACTGACCTTGATCTATTGGTAGGTGTTTGTATTTTTGTTTTTAATCTGGTTCCCCTGTTAGCTTCAACCCGGTTCTGGATACCTGTGACTGAGGGGCTGGTTGAGTTGATGAAGGATGAACTTTTGACTTTTAACAGATTTTTCACACTTTCACAGAGCAGTTCCTCAAAGTGAATGGTGGTTGTCAACAGTCCCAGTCCTTGCTTAACTTCATCGACTGACTAAATCGCAGAACTTTCAACTGACCTCACAATAATTTTAACATTTTGTGTTTATACAGAAAGGAGTTTAGCTCTAATGTAGACATGCCCACATGATGAAGAGACATTTGTTTTTACCTTGGAAATGGAAAGTGAATAATGATTTCTCCTCATTCCAGGGCTCCTGATGAAGCAAGTATCCATGATAAAATTCTATACTCGAGCTCCAAGCAGTACTTAAAAAATGCAATGAACGGTAATCATCCAACTTCACACATACAAGTCCACAGCGTCAAACGATGAAAACTAATTTGCTGTCTCTTCTACAGGTATCAAACATGACCTGGAGTTCCAGTCGCTTGCAGATATTGCAGACAGAAAATGTTTTACAGAGAAGTTTGGAAAGCAGATAGTCACACTTGAGGGCAAGAAACTAAAATGAGAAATTGCTGAATAATAATGGTATCAAACATGACCTGGAGTTCCAGTCGCTTGCAGATATTGCAGACAGAAAATGTTTTACAGAGAAGTTTGGAAAGCAGATAGTCACACTTGAGGGCAAGAAACTAAAATGAGAAATTGCTGTTACTCCCCCTAGCCCCCCCCACACACACACACACACACACACACTGATCTGTTACAGTCTCCAAGGGATGAGGACATTTCTGGTGGGGGGAGGGATTGGCTCAACAAAGCTTAACAAGACGGGTTGGGTACCAGATGGGATTCAGTGCCTGTATAACGTCCAACGTCCATCCTCTACAACAAAGTCTCGTCACACTGACGCTGGCTGTTTGACCTGTGTTGATGCCGTGTCACTTGACTTTAGCTCCATTTGTCTCATTTCACACTTGATGTCATGTACATACACTCCTGCTCCAACAAGTGTGTTCTGGGATGCACACTATTCGGTCGGGCACGTACAACTGAATTAGGTTCCGCATCCTTGAAAGATGCTCCACAATGTTTGACAAAGCCTGTTTTTCTAGACTGTTACACCCTGAGACACTCTGTACACAATACCTTTTACAATGGGGGAAAAATGTTCTGTGGAAATGCAGCATCTAATGCATCAAGTATTGTTAAATAAACATTAAGAAATGAACTGTGCTGGAACTTCTGTTTTTATTTGTTTGTTTACATTTCCCTTGTTTTGTTATCTCGGCTCACTAGAATATTTTATTGTGGGATACTCAACTATTGGGCCGGGGGCTGGTTTATTGCTGTAGATCTTTTGGTACTGGGCCACACAGAAAGAATCATTATTACTTTCACTTTCTTTAAATTATGTTAATCTGCCTGGTATCTCTCAAAATAAATGATAGAAGTGAGAGTGTGCGTTTTAAAAATATATACACTGTTATGCGTGTGACCTCCACTAGCGCTGACTATCCCTGATGGTCTGGAGAAATTGAAAAAAAAATGGTAGGATTGTCCTGTGTAAAACCTGGCTGTGGCGTCATGTGCCACTCCCACCCATGACTGCCCTGGAGCTTTTTTTGGGTTCTCACCTGAACAGTAACTGGGCTGAAGCCGATAATACTGAGCGATGAAAATGACACTTGTTCTGCAACAGACATCTGAAGACATTATCGTCGATGGCACCTGGTTGTGATCGTCATTTTAATGTGCATTAATGCATTCAGCGTTGCTGAGGCTGCAGCTCTAAAGTGTCACACCTGTGGACGGGGAGGTGGACCTGAGTGTGGAGGTGTGCTCATTTGCCACTGCTCCTGCTCCTCCTCCTTCTCCTGCTGTGAGTCAACCTGCTCTCCTTCTTTATGACTCTTGAGCATTGAGACTGCTGCTGCCATTTGTTCCCTGCTGCCTGCTCTTTCACACCTCCAAAGCAAAAATGGTGAGTAACACAAAAATGACTGGACTCACTGCTGCCACACTTTGTCCTGGGCATGATTTGTAGTCACACCCTGACATGGAGTGCACTCCTAAAATGTGTTTCCTCGCCTTTAAGATGTGTTTGATAGAAAAGGTGTAGTTATACTGCATGTAGTTACAGAGGTAAGAGCTTTTTTTAAGAGTGATGAGGAAAACGTTTTTAAGGTGTGGTTTTGTCGTCAAAATGGAGTGAGCTTTGTCAGTGCCTGAAACTTGTTTGGAGATAATGCTTTAGGGCGGTCTTTCTTGTACCAACTCGTTTCACAATGACTGGAATGTGATAGTCAGGGCCTTGGAAATTCACAGCGAAGCTCAAATTTGTAGCATTTAACTGTTCAAAAGAAGTGCTGTTAAAAATATCAGGCATTTCACTTCTCTCCAAATTCAAGTTTTCAACAACTTCCTGTTTCTTTTTTTTTCAGCTCTGCTTTTTACCTGTGGACAAAAGTCCAGGTCAATATGAGAGAGAAAATCAACAGAGACACACATTTATCATGCCTGTGTTTAGGCTTTTGATTGTCATATAACATTTTTGATAGGATTTATTCATTTATGAATATGCTCAAGTGGAAAATCGGACTGAAATTTCTGATACATTTTAAAAAATATAACCATAGAAGATACACCTTGTTTCTTTTATGTAAAACCAAAATCTTGTTAAATGAATATCAAACAGCAGTGTGTCTGACTGTGCTGTTCCATTTTTGTTTTCTCAAAAACAGACATCTGGATCAGGGGCCAAAGTGGCCGAGCAAGTGATACACATCTTCGACAAAATGCGTTTAACCAAACGTGACTGAGGGGCTGGTTGAGTTGATGAAGGATGAACTTTTGACTTTTAACAGATTTTTCACACTTTCACAGAGCAGTTCCTCAAAGTGAATGGTGGTTGTCAACAGTCCCAGTCCTTGCTTAACTTCATCGACTGACTAAATCGCAGAACTTTCAACTGACCTCACAATAATTTTAACATTTTGTGTTTATACAGAAAGGAGTTTAGCTCTAATGTAGACATACCCACATGATGAAGAGACATTTGTTTTTACCTTGGAAATGGAAAGTGAATAATGATTTCTCCTCATTCCAGGGCTCCTGATGAAGCAAGTATCCATGATAAAATTCTATACTCGAGCTCCAAGCAGTACTTAAAAAATGCAATGAACGGTAATCATCCATCTTCACACATACAAGTCCACAGCGTCAAACGATGAAAACTAATTTGCTGTCTCTTCTACAGGTATCAAACATGACCTGGAGTTCCAGTCGCTTGCAGATATTGCAGACAGAAAATGTTTTACAGAGAAGTTTGGAAAGCAGATAGTCACACTTGAGGGCAAGAAACTAAAATGAGAAATTGCTGAATAATAATGCTAACAGCTGTCCTGCAGCAAGACACTCTTTAGAGTTAGACCAGGTTTGTTTTAGCAGGAATAACAGGCAGCTGTAGCTTGTTCACTTAGTTGAAACACTGTCTTACTGGGTCTCATTGGTTTCAGAGAATCAACATATCGCACATAAGATACAATGAAGGTGGAGCTTAAGGCTGGATCCATTAAGTTTATGGTATGTTAGAATCCAGGCACTTTTCATAAACTACGTTGTATATGTAAATAGCTGGATGTAAATGTTTTCTGTAAACAGTAACTGTAGGTGGACTAACAGGCTAGAGTAGTGTTTAAGACCACAGGTGTTTATCTTTAGGCTACGACTTTATTATTACATACGGTGGAGGTTTGGGAAAAAACATTTAATGTACATTTTTCAATTTCGATGTTCATATGTTCTTCTAGGAGGATAATCTTAATTTAAAGTTAAAATTCAAAAATAATATAGGCCTCCGAGACATGTTTTGTGAATTAGGCTTACACAAAGAAAACTGTCTTAACCAACAGTTCTGTCCTTAACTGTAAACTGAATGACGTGATTTACTACTACACTACACTCCAGTTTTACAGCTATTTTTAGAGCTGCAGGATGAGTGTTGGGACCTCAGAGCCAGTTGTGCAGTTTTCCTAGTTTCAGACTTCAGAATTTTAGATTTAACTCAACTTACTTCATCTAACAGTTTAAGTCAACAAACTTCATTGAGAAAGTCATCTACCAGGAGTTCATTTGTACATATGTGTGTACACACGGTCCGACCTGACCAGGTACAGTGCCCCCACCTCTGTGTACCATGAGCAGTGGTGAGTCATTAACCCCCGTCTGCATCACCCAACTTTGTAAAACACCATTTCATTTTTGGCAGGATGACATAACTGTGAAGATGTTGCCATGTAGTTCTTTTCCCTGAACACCATGAGAACGGATCACTGTTGTCAGCACACGCAGTGTGTCAACTCTCATCCCTCACCATGAGCACGTACACACCTGCACACCATACAGACCTAAAGGTTTCCTGTTTTGAATACAACTGGATGTGAAACTATGTCATAACATTCTGCAACCGCTTACTCTGCTTTGATTAAATCCAAGACAGCAGACAGAGAGACAGCATGACACTGCAGTTTATTCATTCATACAAATCCAAATTTTCAATGTGTTGTTGGCAACCAGTGACAGAGTGCAGGCCCTGATGGTACTGCACAACTGAACCATAAACGCTCCCATCATTCAACCACATAGAAAAGACATACAAAGTCATTGCACAGGTTTCTTGCACGTTTGACGTACAATCGGTTTCCCTTTTTAACACTGAACTATGGATAAATGTTTGGAAAATAAGGCAGGGGGATAAATAACTTCTGACATAGCCAGAATGTTTGGTGGAATGTGTTTTGGTGGAAGACCGGATCTAGACCCCCATATCCAGTCCTCACTTCCAATGCTCATATTATCAAACATTTTTCCTACAGTTGCAACAAATGCAATCGACTACAGTAAAATAATTTTCTTTTTGGAATGCATAACTATAGTAATTATAAGGCATATTTGGCATATTTGTGTAGTGTCTTCATACTTCTGTCAGACGGATGTTCCTTCCTTCAGTTCTACGTAATCTCCCTGGAAAAGACAAATTAGAAATTGTTACACATATATACTGCATGTGTACTGTGTTACACAAATATACTGTATATATGCATTTTTTTCTTTTTTGATGAATGCATTCTCACCTTGCCGTCCAGATGCTCCTGTAGTGTTCTCACCGTCTCCCTCTCTTTGGTCAGTTGCTCTTGTGTGGCTTTGAGGAGCTGCTGGAGTTTGGTGGCTGCTTGGCCCAAGTCTTTAGATAATTTCTTCTCCTTCTCCAAACGCTCCTGTGCCAACAGCAGCAGCAGAAATGTTACTCCAGAGTAAAAGAAAAACACAATATAATAATTTCTTAGGTTCCCCCCAGACCTTCTACAATAAGAACTGAGTTCAGCATCTTAAAGATAGTAAGTGAATGGGAACATTCAGAAGTTTGGATTTTACTATGCAAAGAAAAACAAGGTTTTTATGAAGCTCAAAAAAGTCCATTGTTTTTATTTCCCTATTAGGATGATGACAGTCTCCAGTGAATGTCAGCTATTTTGATTTTGAATAACGTTCTAGACTTGTTTATACCCTGATCTTCAGTTCTTTAGACACATTTTATAACTGGGGCAAATCAGAGCTTTTTTGCTTGAATCACACTACATTATTCCGGTTGTTTTGATGTTATAAACCCTGGGTTTAGAAATGATTTGAATCTGAAAAAAAACAAAAAAAACACGAGTTTTTTTTTTTTTTTTTAAATGCAGCACCAGCTTCAGAAATGAAAAAGAAAACACATGGATAAAAGAAGAAATTGGGATAGATAAATGTCAATGAATAAGGAATATATTCACAAGAAGTGAAAAATGAATTGATAAAGTGAAGGGGAAGGATGGTGAACTCTCACAGGATTTTATTTATTGAAATTCAAGGTAAAAAAAAAAGCGCCACCATCCACTAGTCACAATGTAGTTTGTCTTCACACACCTTGAGCTGAGTAATGTCTTCTGTTTCAGCTGATGGTGACTCAGCAGAAACTTTCAGAAGATCCAGCTGAGCCTGGAATTCTGCAATTGTTTTCTGGGCCTGAAAGTTTGATGTGACAGTAATTGTAGGCTTGATGAGAAACCTTCTGAAGTGAACAGAAGGAAAGTAAAAAAAAACTGCATGGCTGTGGTTACCTGTTGGAGCTCCTCTGACAGCTGCTGCCTCTGAGTCACCTCTCCGTGCAGCTTCTCTGCTGTCTGAGTCAACTCATCCTGGACCTGACGGTCAACAAACAAGCCGTCAACATCAGCCTCGACAAATGATTAGGACATTGGTGTGTTTATTCAAACATTCTTGTTCAGAAGCTGTATTGCACCACCAACCGCACACACACACACGCGGATACACAAAGTTGTTGGACCTGTGTGCCAGGTTAGCTTCCACTCACACAGTTTCAGACTAGAGATTTGAGACAAACACACAGTTTTCTGCTGCTGTTAAAATTCCTACAAAGAAAGGCCAAAAATTAAAGGAGCGGAGAAGAGCATGCTGTAAAAATATCAGAGAGAAAGTGGGGTTAAAAGTTACATCCACACAATGCAAATAATGGTTAGCACAAACGGATGCTGTCTTCTAGAACTGGACGGACTGGAAAGGCAGCACTTCATTATCTGTCTCTGAGTTTCTGTGACACAGCCTTCGGTCAGGATGTGAGTTTGACTACCAAAACAATCCTACATATATGAATTTTAACAAAAATAGCAAATTAAAAACTTTAAAACGTTTTTAAAACAAGTGCCGTGATCCTGGTCCAGTACTTTCTGACAGTTGTTACAGGGTGTACGTCTAATACGCTGGCACCCTAACCTGACTGGGTTGAGCCTCAGTTGGGCCGTTCTGTTCACGCTGAGCCCCCATTCTGATCTCGCCCAGCTGCTCCCTGACCTGCAACAGGAAGTCGTCGCTTGTCAGTGGTTATATATCCTCCATCCATAAATCGGCTTCTGTGCTACATGACACTGACACATCACCAAGCTGAGTTTTCCTAAATTCACTGGACATTCACTGGAGACTTTTATCTACAGGGACATACTGTATGATGCCGCCTTAATGCCAAACTAATACGGTTCCTTGATGCCTGTGGAAAATAATAGTAAAACAAATGGGTCCTTTACCATTTTTATTGGGTGTTATTGGGTGCAACGCCCAGCTCTTTGGTGAAAATCTAAGAATGGACTTATATAACCATAGCAACTATATGTACATGAGTCAAACCAGAGCAAACGTGTAATAGTAAAGTTTTCTATTTCAACATTACTCTTATGTTAATGTGTAGACTAAAGAAAGTTGTACGGCCTCACTGCTTGTCTCCCCGTTATGTTAGAGATTTTTTCGTAATGGAGGAGGGGGATGGACTATTTGTAAATTTTGGTTTTCCAACTGAAAAAGTCTTGAGGCCTAATGTAGAGGAAAATCAAATAGTGACATGGACAAGAAGGTATTGGTGAAATGGTCATGTGAGTGACATGAGAGCAGGTTCAGTCAGTAAAGTCACCTGAACCAGCTCCTCCTTCTGTGCCTGTGATTCCTTCTGGGCCAAATCCAACTGGCTCTGACACTCTGACAGCTGCAGCTTCAGCTGAACGTACAACACCACACAGGGAAGACTGATGTCAGACAAATGTTTCAAAGAGCCCCTCATAAACCCTCGAGTCACTCTTTTTCTTTTTTTTAAATTCCTATACTGTACCTGCTCCATCTCCTCTGTGGCTCCATGGTTGTCTGCCTCCTTCTCCAGCTGAGCTTCTAGAAGCATCATCTGCTCCTTTAACTGCAGAGAACAAGCAAGAAAAAAAATGCTTTATATCTAAAGGCTCTATTTGATTTAAGCTGATTTGTAAACAACAATAATAATAATTCTCACTTGTGATACGCTTTGATTTTCTTCCTCCATCTTGGTGATTTTTTCCAAAGCCTACGTTGAAAAAATCAGTTAGTTTCTACAAAAATCTGGCATACATGTAGTGGAAAAAACCCTAAAATGCATCATGTGATCATGTGATTTAAACAAACTCACCACCCTCAGCTGTTCCTCTGAGGTAGCCATCTTGGACTTCCAAACTAGCTCTTCTTCTTCTACACTCTTCTGTAGATGTTTCAACATTCCTTCCTGTGGTGAAGACCAAACCAGATTTTAAAAAAATAAAACAAAACATTTCCCACAACTCACTGTGGTCTCAGTCACTCACTGTTTCAGCCAAAACTGTCCGGTACTGTTCACATTCGGCCTGCAGGGACCCGCGACTCTCCTGCGCCTCTTTCAGTTTCTCAGACAACTCCTGTAACCAACAACAATACGTACATTATGACCAATAATTCAACACAAAGTATTCTGAATATTTCAGACTAATATCTTACTGGACTGGACTCCTGGTTTTGTGAGGTTAGAGCCTCCTGGGCTTTCTGTGTAAATACTTGTAACCAGTTGGTCTGGGTAAAGAAAGGAAGAACGACCAAGTGAGATTTATAGTCCGGAGAATTTGAATTAAATCCACACAGTGAATACAGTTCTACTCACCTGCTCTGTCTCTACAGGAATGTGTGGGAAAAGCAACTGGAGACTTTCTTTGGTTTGATTCTGGAAAGTTGTCAGCTGTTCCACTGTGCTCTGCTTAATAATGGATGATGAAACCACAGGTGTGAGTGGACACAGAGCAGCGTTTAACTAAGGACGAAGTGCTGGTGTGACACTTACTGCCTCTGTGCTCATCTTTTCTCTCACTTCTGTCAGCAGCTCTTGCAGGGATGTGATAAAACTGTCCTTTTCAGTTAAACTGATTATGGAATTATAAATATTAGAAACCATTAGACCCAAACAAATGTGGAGAACGTTCAGATGTATAACTTGACACTTATTTACCTGGTTTGTAGCTGAGCAAGCTTTTCAGAGGCATCTGGTTGCTAAAAAAGACAGGACATAGAGATGACTCCCCAAAGATACGTTTGTGTTCTACTAGGAACATGCACAAGAACCACAAACTTACTGCGGTGTTCTTAACTTGTACCATCTCTTCTTTAAGGTTTTGAAGTTCCTCTTGAAGTGATGTGATAAGACTGGCATCCTCCCTTGAAATGACACAACAGTTTTTATCATTTATTTGTCAACTGAGGTGAAAAACGGTTTAAATGAAAATCAGACAGTAGACTGAACCATACCTCTTGTTCCTTTGCTCCAGCTCAACTATAGTGTTCTCCTGGTAAAATAAATATATATATTTGTTTACATCTTTTTAACACAAATCTGTTGTTAAGCAATCAGAGAAGAAATACTATGGGGCAATGGACGACACTTACTGCAGATTCCTGCTTTATTTGCACTTGCTTCAGTTCCTCTTGAAGCGTTTGCAACTGGCCGTCCCTCTCCTGGAGCCTGCAGGAAGAGGAAGACGTTTCGTATTCAATCAATGAGACATTTATGGATCTAATTAGAGGACATGGATTCTGGTTAGAGGACAATTAAAACCTTTACCTGAGTTTAAGCTGTTCCAGTTCTGCAGCATTTACCTAAGGCACAAGACGTGACAAAAATGTTATGAGGGCTTTACTAGCAGGGGTCAGCTGTTAGACCATCAGTGCAATTTCAAGCTGAAAGAATGTGTCCTACCTGATTGTCCTCTTCCACTTTTTTGTTTTGACTAGCCTCCAGCAGTGTGTTGATGGAGGTCACCTGCTGGGTGAGCTGACTTTTCTCTGCCTGTGCCTCTGCCAGCTGGGCAGTAAGGGCATCTACCTGAGCAGAGCGCTCCCTGATGTCGGCTTCCAGCTTTTCGGCATGCACTTGAAATTCTGCAGGGACAAAACACAGCTGTCACTGAATCATTGACTGAGTGGACCATTGACTTCAGTTTGAAACCCACGTTTACTCCATGTGTCTGACCTGACAGTGAGCTGTTGTCTTGTTGGGCCTTGTCCAGAGTGGCCTGCAGGCCGCTGGTTCTTCTTTGTGTTGTTCTCAGCTCTTCACTCACCTCCTCCAATCTCTTCTGAAGAGTCTGCTCACTCTCAGCATGACCGGCCTGTATGTGCAGCAAACAGCAAAGGGCATTAAAGGTTACAAATTAAAAATCTGTCAGGGGGACAAGGGACATTTATTCCATAACACTTCAGAAGTTCTCTTAGAATTTGAGACACATCATCAGCTACACCACAGGACAGCCATTCATCTGTAGGAGACCATGTAAATTGTAACTATACGTCTGGACAGATAATTTAAGGCAGGAATGTAGTGGGTGTCATTTCAAGCCAAGTGCTGTTGAAGATGGTGGTGGACTTCGGCATATTTTACAGCCTGTGTCGGCAGAGGCAGGTGAAGTGAGATGCTCGGACACGCATATATTCCAGCAGCTACTGTGAAGCTTTTTTCCCTGCAGCCTCATTATCGTATGGCTGCATTCCAGCCCAGCCTCCAGCTCTGTGATTACAAGGCCATTAAACTTCCCATAGAATTAAAGGGCCACAGGATGAGAGCAGTGAGAGTCCATCTCTCACTGCTCTCATCCTGTGGCCCTTTAAGATATGGGTTTGTGTTTGTTGTTTTTAGTTTGGCGAGTTTTGTCCTTAAAACATTAAGTGTTTAAAGAATAAATCTGGCCTTTTTCCCCATAAGGGAAATCAATAATAACAGAACAGGTTTGCCTTCCCACAGGATGGACCAACCTGCAGCAGGGAGAGCTGCTTCTCAGCAGCAGAGAGCTTGGTCTCCAGCCCTTTCCTAACATGCTCATCTGCGTGGAGACTTTCTGTCTTCTCCTCAACCTCCTTTGTCAGCTTGGCACATTCTTGTCGCAGCTTGGCCAGCTCTGTATTTTGTCTGAGGGCAAAAGAGAGACAACAATAAGGAAATGTTTGCCAAACATGTTGGTTAGCATTCTGGTACTCCACAAGTTAATGATTCAGAAACTGTATTTTCACTTTTACCTATTTTTCTGATTACACAGAAGAGCCACAGGCATATAACTCAGAACTAAATGTAAGAGACTGGTTGCTTTAAATTGAACAATTCTAAAACATTTGCTAAGGCATTGAGGTTTCAACTGTTAAGGATCATAAGGATCCATAAAGATGGTTTTATTTCAGATCTCTGTTTAGGGGACAGACTCACTTGCTCTCAGCCAGACTTGTGGCCTGGTTGAGGGCATCACGGAGGATGGAGTTCTCCTGCTGCAGACGGGCCAGTTGGGCAGTGGGGCCCTTCTCCAGCTGATCCTGCAGGCTGAGGATCTGAGAAGAGAAATTGGTCAATTTTATTTAAAATAATTGAAACAATTTTCAAATCATGTTTTTGAAATTATATGATAAATTGACTATACAATAGTGAAATTATATGAATGTGTCTTTAAGTTCTACGCAATAACAAACTACATATGGAATTCTAATTATCTAAAAGCAAAAAAAAAAGTAACCTTTGCATTGAGCCTCTGTGTCTGAGCCACATGGTCCTGATAACTGGCCTGCATTCGAGCTTGCAGTGCCATCATTTCTTGCTCCCTCTTACTCAGCTGTGAGCTCAGCCTGGTCTCCACACTGGTCACCTTTGACTTCTCAGATGAGAGCTCCTGATGAACAGAAATTAGCAAATCCAGTCTCAAGAATATATATCTGACTAAAGTTTTTACGCTAATTTTAATAAGAAAATCTAACTTTTCCATTGCAATACTAGTTTTAGGCATAACACACATAAATGTTAGGACATAGTTAAGTTTGGAAATTGACAAAAAGATATAGAACTAAAGTTCAGTATAGTCAGTATTCAAAAATGTTTCTGAAAACACGGGAGGAACTCTACTTCTAACAATGCTGTTTACAATCGTGCTACCCTGGGAAAGACTGTGCTTTCATTTGCTGCCATCTGCAGGCCGACATAAATATTACACAAGGCATGTAGCATATCGAGCAGCGATTTGAGAGCAATGTAGTTCAAATGGACTCAATGCATTAGCTACCCAGAATAGCAACACAACGGCAAGTTTTATTTGGATTCAAACTGTGTTTTTTCTATAACTAATATTATATTTTAATTTCAAGTTTGTTTATTGTTGTCAAATCAGCTTCTCTGGAAGAGGGTTCTTGCAAGGACATGGACCGGGTGACAGGAATTGGGCAGCACCTACAACAACTAACCTTGGTGAGCTCCCTCAGGCGTGCCTTTGCTGCAGAGGCGTCTTCCTGTTCTGTGGCCAGTTTTTTCTCCTTCTCTTCTAACTGCTTCTTGAGGACAGCCACTGGGTCACCCTTCTGAGTGGCCTATGAACGTGTGTACAAGTGTTAATTTCCCAAAGCTACCTCCTGAGGGATTAATGAAGTTCTATCTAAACTACAATAAAAACAGAATAAAGATATCAGAGTATGGGAACATTTGCTTTGAAACTAATTATTTACTGTATAATTTTTCACTTCTCTGAGACCACTTTACCACCGTACCATGTGCCAGGTGTCCTGGATGATGCCAGCTTTCTCAGACAGTATCTCAATAAGACGTTGAGCTTCTCCCTCACTGAACACCATGCTTCTGACGGTGGACACCAGAGTCTTGTAGGGCAGATACAGGGGCGCTTCTGTAGAATCCACTGCTGTCGCTGAAACACAAACCTTATTAGTTTTCATGTTAATCTAAAACATCTGTGACTGTTAAATTTAAATTGTATAATTTAGGTCTACTTTTATGGATTACAGGCCCTGCAGAGTCTAAAACCTTCAGCAGAAACCCAGAATGGTAAGATGATGGGGCACTGTGGCACCAGGCAGAGCCAAGCCTCAGGCATGGGTGAACTCCATCCCCTTCTCTCTCTGCCAATTGTAAGGGCACTGAGATCTTTTGTCAGCTAACAAAACAGGGCAGCAATGTTTGGACAAGATGGCTTGCTCTACGCCCTCCAAAGCAGAGAGCAGGACTTTATCCACTACAGTCATTGGCACAACATTACGCTGGAAATTTAATCAGGAATGACAAGAATAGTAGTGGCAAACATGGAGAGTATGTGTACGCAGCTGAGAAATACAGACATGCCATCAGTCTGCCTCACACTCTAATCAACATTGTTATGGCTAATGTAGTTCCTGTCTCTTAGCCACTTCCACCACTTCACTGGAGAGTAAACATTTTTTTCAAACATATATATCATATCTTCGACACACTAAAGAGGTTTTTGTTGGGGAGTAAGCTTGTAAAAAAAAAGCATGTAGTTCATGGACCTCCCCAGCAGGGGGTGGTATAAACAATGATACTGCTGTGGGTCCACTTATCCATGACGACGCACAGTTCCCACAATGGCGCCTGAATTTTTTTTATTGAATTCTATTTTCAATGTAAAAAACACAAATTAAAAAAATGTAAGTCGTTTTATACCAACGTTCTTTAACTTAATCACTCTACTCCTGTTAACAGACTCCCACCCCATCTCCATGTTGCTCTTTTCTTTGAGGTTGCATTACTGCCACCTGCAGTTGGTTTCTTTACAACTGAAGGCAGTTCTAAGGATTACTGACAGAAGAGGGGATACAGACAGAGGGCAGTGTTGCTGCAGATGAACGAACCACCACACAGTTCAAGTAGCCAATGAAGACAACTAACGTGATTTTTAAAGTTTTTTCTTCTTCAGATTCTACCTGAAAGGGCGTTGAACTGCATCCTAGAGGGTCTTGTTAGATCAGAGTATGAAGAATGAGGCAATTGGTCTTAGTATTAAATATTCCTTATACAGTGTGAAATGCTAAATATTCTATTTAAAAGTCACTAATTATGTGCTTTATTGTTATGAGACATTTAAACTTCTTACCAGGCTCACTCTTCTTCTTTGAGGACTTTTTTTTAGGCTCTTGGACTTTTGCTGGAGCAGGAGCTTGCTGCAATCCCACTGGAGGCACTGCCATCACTGGGACATCTTTAGTGATGACCTCCAGAACCGGGGCTGTCTTGGCTGGAGTCTGTGCAGATTTGGGCTGCTGCTGCTGTTGTTGTTGCTGCTGTTGTTGTTTTGGGGCTCCTGAGGCAGCTGCAGCCTTTCCAGATGTAGCTGCAGATTTGGCTGGGACAGAGACAGACTTGCCTGCTGCAGTAGGAGCAACAGGAGCAGACTTGGCAGGGGCAGATTTGGCTGGCGCAGCTGTCGCCTTTGCAGGTGCTTGGGCTGACTTAGCTGGGGCTGAAGCAGACTTAGCTGGCGCTGGAACCGGAGCAGCCTTCGCTTGCGCTGGAGCAGTCTTTGCTTGCACTGGGGCAGCCTTGGCTGGAGCTGGAGCAGATTTAGCTGGAGCAGACTTGGCTGCTGCTGGAGCAGGAGCAGACTGGGCTGCTGCTGGAGCAGGAGCAGACTTGGCTGCTGGAGCAGGAGCAGACTGGGCTGCTGCTGGAGCAGGAGCAGACTGGGCTGCTGCTGGAGCAGGAGCAGACTTGGCTGCTGCTGGAGCAGGAGCAGACTTGGCTGCTGGAGCAGGAGCAGACTGGGCTGCTGCTGGAGCAGGAGCAGACTGGGCTGCTGCTGGAGCAGGAGCAGACTTGGCTGCTGGAGCAGGAGCAGACTTGGCTGCTGGAGCAGGAGCAGACTTGGCTGCTGCTGGAGCAGGAGCAGACTTGGCTGCTGGAGCAGGTGTAGACTTGGCTGCTGTTGGAGCAGATTTTGACGGAGCAGGAGCTGCTTTGGCCGGAGCATCGGTAGATGGCGCTTTTGCTTTTGGTGAAGCAAGAACTGGGGCTGGAATTGATGTAGGGGCAGCAGATGACTTAACTACTTCTGGGGTAGACACAGCTACTGCTGGTTTAGTTGAGGCTGGTTCTACCTTAGTAATCTTTTTCTTTTTCTTGTCTTTTGGAGATGGTGCAGGTGATGGTTCCACAGGGATGGTTTCAGCAGCCAGCTTGGGTTGAGGGTCTTCTGCCTTGAGGGTAGCAACTAGTTTAACCTCAGGGGCAGGAACAGGAGAAGCAGCAGCAGTCACAGTTGGGGCAAGTACAGATTCAATGACCACATCAGAATCTGAAGCATCGTCATTTTTTTCCGGCTCAGGGATCTTTCCATTGGGCTTTTCGTCCTTCTTCTTTCCACGGTTTTTTTTCTCAGATATTTTGTCCTTTTTCTTTTTCTCAGAGCGACCAGACTGTACCTTACCTAACTCTTTTCGCTGCTTCTCCAATGCCTCCTCATAAGAGGTCTCCTTCATGGAAAAGGTGGAGACAAGAGCGATCCCGACAGCCGAGATTACCATGAATCCACCAAACACCATAACACCTAGGGTCTGGGGGTCGTAGATGTCCATTGTTCTTTTTTAAAGGCTCTAAAAATGAAAGATCACAAAACATCAATACTAGTAAAAGGAATCATTATTTGTTTTGTGTGTTTTAGCTACTGGCACCACAGTCTATTTGTTTCTGACAATATATTCCTTGTGCTTTAGGAAAAAAGTATCAGATTTACTGCTGTAGGTTGTACTTTATACAGCCTCTAGGAGTCTCCGTTATTCCCCTTAACCTTTGTCTTTGCAGAACAGCAAATCTTATCAGTCATCTGTTCAACACCTGTACCCTCACTTTGTCATTGTGGCATTTATCAGTGGTGTAACATGTGCTCATGCAGCTATAAATCACTTTCACTACTTTCCATTATTTTCTTATAGTTAAATATTTGACTCCAATGATAGTTATCAAATATGGAAACCAGAACTAAAAACCTAATATAATACCACACATCTGATAGCTTATATTGAAGATAGGTGAAGATTGACTACTGTCATGTGTTATTATTTGACTTCAGTCCACTCATAAGTTTGAAGATCTATACCTTTGGTTGCATTACATGTTTTGATTTTCTTTTATTATTTGGTTATAAACATTGAATAAAATTGTAAAAATTACTCATAAACAACAAATAGTTTGAATAAATTGGCAAAAACTGACAAAATTGTGTTAAAACGAACATTTAAAATGAAGAATAACAAAACAAATACAGAAAAGGCTAACAAAGTACATTCACGTAAAATTGATCATGGTTACTTAGAATGCAAATAAATCACTCTTTAAACAGGCTTTAAACTATGCCCTCAAGGCTTTAAAAAGCACCCTCCTAAATGTTCAGCCTGCAGGGGAGATGTTGTCTGGTTGCTATTTATAAAACCCTTTTCAAACAATCATTGTGTTAAAAAGAAAGGATCTTTTTGCTGATTTTTTTCTCTATGAAGATGCAGAGTGGAGCCAACATTGTGACGTGGATCTGGAAAACTGCGGAGCTACTTCAGTGCAATCACAGCAAGAGTCCAGAGTCCTTGCTCACTGCAGGCTCTGAAAGCCCAAAGGGAAAAATGTGAGTTTGCTCGCCCCCTGATGTGGGATGTCACACGTCAGTGCATCTCCGCTCAGACTTTTAGAAGAGAGTAAAAAACAAAACTTAAAAAACACTACTTGTAGTAAAAGAAACATGTTTAAGGTCCACTAGTGGGAGGACTACTAGACAGAACCTATCTTTGTATCGCTGCTCAACCATATCTCCCCTGAGTTTATGATAATCTGGCTTTCATGCAGTAGTAATGCACACCCACACAGTATGCATTAAAATAGAAATTTCTGGGGGGGAAAAAGACGATAACTTTGTCATTCCTTTGCGTTTACATCAAAGTGCTTTTTTTATTTTCAACTAGAGAAACGTTGTTAATTATATTAGATATAAAATACATGTCAACAATTTTACTTCAAACCACACCTTCCTATTTTAATGTTGAATGCAAAGCAGAACTTTAAATGTTAATTCAGTGTAATAAAATACAACATTTACTGTCCACAGAGCTGGTCTCGGACAGGCCGTGAGGATTGATGAGACATCTGTGAAGCCGTACACCGTTATACTCGCATACATTTATCGATTTTTTTCTGAATTTAAACGGAATAAAACACTTTAAATATCTCGCAAAGAAGCTTCGTAGCTCAAACAGTGAATCAATGAGTTTGGCTAACGACCTGCAAATCAAGGTTTAAAGTATCTTCTTACGTAACAATAAACGCACTTTAACTGTGACAACAAAGCTGTAAAGTACGTAGCCAGCTGCGAAAAAACACCTGCGAGATTTTTCACACAACTTTATCCGATTGTCGTTTTATAAAGTAGTAGTTAGCAGAAGTTAGCTTTTCCAGGCTAGCAAAGGCAGAGTCAATGAATAAAAAAATCCAACATTCCCCATTCTTTACCTCGCCGGTGATGTAGCTGCGTCTGCTGGTTTCAACGGGAACGGATGGAGGGCTGAAAAGCTCTGCGTTGTAGCTGAAGTGACTCCTGCACAAATTTTGTCCAGCTATGCAGCTAAAGTTGCCTTTTTTCCACTGGTCTCCCTCCCCCTCACTCCGCTGGAGAATCCGTGGTCTGCTGTGAAGTCGTGGCACTTCGAGCTGGCCAGACGTGCTGGCCCCGTGCCCCAGATAGCTACCGAGGATCGACAAGGCTGCTGATTGGCTGAATGCAACTTAAGCCGGAAGTGGGAATGCTGGTAGGTGTAGTCTTTTACGCAAGGGAAAAACCCCTTTAGTGTCCAAGAGTTTTTACTATAACACTTTTCTATGTAAAAGAATGATACATTATTTATCAATAAATGAATCGATTAAACGCCCATAGGTGAGACAAAATGTTTGCAAAACATTTTAAAAATAATGAAGATACATTTTCACTAAGTAATTCAAGAGGTACTAGGCACCATATTGACAATATAATTTCTTATAGCCCTGTTTGGGGGCCAATTCTGGTTCTGTAATATAATTTTGTGAGCTCTGATTTAAAAATGCATTATTGTTTATCACTAGGGCTATGTTATGGGACTAAATAACCATACAGGAGTAATTATAAAACTTTAGATTATTATTAATATTAGCCATGTCAGACTTATAATGTCAATCTCCTGCCCACATACCGTATACATTTTGCCTTTACTTTGTTTATATTATTTATCTTTGGCTTCATATTTCTATTTTCTAAATTTTATTATAATGCACCAATATTTCTGTGTGCACATGTACTTGATAGTATAGAATAAGTACATCTTTTTCACAACTGCCTGTTTTAACAAGTAATGTGAAGCTTTGTGAACACAGTCTGTGTATTAGAATTGTAAAAAGGCACATGTAACCCCTATTGAATCCCTGGGGAATGACAGGATGATCAGGTTTCAAATGTAGCCTGGTTTGTACATAAGTCTAAAAAAATGAAATGCCCTTATACATGTTTTCAAGAGTCAGTAAATATTTTTCTAGGCCTTCCGAGTCCTTGCTTCTTTTTAACTCTATAAGGCAGCTTTATTTAAAGAATAAATAACTTAAAAAGGAAAATAACTTAAAATTAATTTCAAGATAAAAAAGATAAAATGTCAGAGACAAAGCCTACTAGTGACGCTGAAGAAACTATGCAACTGGAATACATGACTTAGTCGTTTATTGATGTGGACCTTTCCATTTTACTGTTTGTTTGTTTGTTTGTTTCCTAAACAGAGCAGAGAACTGGGATCATTTCACATCCAAATAAAAAACTTAACAAACGACATGCCACAGGCCTTTTAGAATGCTTTGCCATTAGCCACACCTAAAAGGTCAAGTTGCAGCATAACATTGTTAGCATACGTTTTTGACTGTCCTTTTTGCCACACCCACCTGTATTCTTCATGCACAAGAACTATCACAGGAGAATTACAAGCAGAGTATGTGGGGCAATAATACTGTATTTACCCAGTGAGGCATCTAATCAGTTTTGGCCCAATGTGTCAGATATCTGACCAAAGTTAAAGCTACTTGATATGGTTGTGGAAAAGTTTCTCTGTCTACGCCCACACATTTGGCTAGCTTTATGGAACTGGAATTTAATTAATACACTGATAATTGCCACTGTGGGATTGATGTTCTTCGAAGATCAGGCCACAGGAACAAGCTCTTCTAAGGCCCAACCCTAACTTCTTTTTGCCTCATACGTAAATATATTTAGTGAGTATAAAATCATGGGACAAACAGGATTGCACAACAAATGGATGCGTATCAGATGATGATCTATTAAAATAAAAGGTGAAATCAACACAATTTCTACAGCATGGAACAAGTAAAAAAAAAAGTTATATTCACTAGATGAGACTAGATGTGGTGTTTTTTCTGTTGAACATTTGTAGGAAGAGATGTTTACCAACGGAGGAAAGAACAGAAATGTGGCAATAAAATTAAAGGTCAGCAATACAGGCAGAAGATTCTAGTGTCTCGCATAAGGCAACAAATGCATTTGGTTGCATTCTCATAGCATTTTCTATGGGAAATACTACATAAGATTTGTTAAAGCTGTTCAGATTGTTACAGAAATAACAAACGTTGTATGTAAGTTACCTGAAAATATTAAGGTAAATGTCAAAGGGTGTGGCTAAAAAAAGCTCTTGAACCACCATTAGCGGCAATACTGCTTTTAACTTTAAACTAAAACTACCACAATAAATACCAGTTACCCAGCACACCTGCCAGTCACTGATGTACTTTAGGACATAAGAGCTATTTTTCTCATTTTTTTCATGACAGACCAGGTGGGGATTTTTAAAACATTTATTGAAACTGAATCTTCGACTTTGGCTTTATTTTTGTATTGCTGCAGTTTAACTGACGTGTCAGTGCAAGTCTCCTCCCCTTTCTACTGCTGACTGTGCATACTCCCCAGCTGCTGAAAGTTCAGCATTGGTCATGTTTGCTAACCATACATGCATTTGCTTTAATGTTTGCATCGTCTAATAGTCATGATGGCAACAGGCTCAAGAACGAGCCAGCTGTGAAATAATTTAAATATTTCCTTTTCAGTAATTCTGGGTGATAAGATAGTTGCTGGTCTTAGGGCATGAAGCACTTTGAATTTAAGATGAGATTCAATATTTGTTTTGTGAGCAATAAAACAAATAAGTGAGCGGGGCAGGTCACACCAACCCAGTAAAGGTTTGACCGAAGCGTGAAACTTACAAAGCCTTTGGTCTTTCGAGCTTTTCAGAGATGGACTGATGACAGAAAGAAATCATTTGTCGAAGTAATGGCATAGAACTTGAACATTTTCATGAATAAAAAAATGTATTTAAAAATTATTATTATTAATGGTGACATGAGCAAGCGAGTTATTCATCAGTATTTTCAGCTGGTAGACATAAAATTCTTATTAGAATAAAAAGGTTTTTGTGATATGTTTTTTCTAAGTGGCACATAGACTTCAGACCTCAAAGCCAAGGGAGTACGCTTTGGGGTTTTGACACAACAAAGCACTTCAACCAAAAATGATGGATAAATCAGATTTGTGGTCCAAAATGTCAAGGTGACATTGTCTAAGCAAAAAGAAGATCAGTTGTTAGTATTCAGGTCTGTTCTTAAAAATATTACAGTTCTGTATATGTCTGATCTGAATATGTCCATATATGTACGGTATGTGTAATTGTCCCCCAGAAAAAAGGGAAAAACACAAATTTTAGCAGATGAATCATTTCAAACTCTGCAGCATCGTCCAAATGAATTCTTATAAGAAGCAGGAAGTGTTGTCTTCTTCTGTTCCGATAAGGTAGAACTTCTTAGTGCGGTGTCACTGGGAGATGTGCAGGTGCATTCTCTACAGCAGCTCCCTTCACACTTCACTACACGTCTGTACTTCATGCTTCATGCCCCCGAGTCACTCCTCAAGGTTCCTGTCTGCACTTATCGTGACTTTTGAGCTGAACGCTGATAGGAGCTGTTTGACACCAGGCAGGTGCACGCACAGGCTCAGTCAGCATGACATGTTCTAACCCTAACCCAATTCCTAACCCAATTCCTAACCCAATGTATACAGTATGACCTCAATGAAGGGTGTATTACAGAAATTTTTTGTCCCTACTGTTAGTTAAAGTACAAAACAGGAGACTGTATCTGTGAGTAGAGACAGATGGATCATTAAAACAAGCTAAAGATCAGGTATATACATACAGTATATATACATTTATATACCATATATGAAACAACATACACATACATAGCAAAGTAATGTAAAATATAGCAATATAAAGAATTATACCACCAAAAGCAATTGTAAATATGTATTCTCTTTCAACACTGTGTTTTCATATAGGATTTTCTCACTGATTTTTTTTAAAAAGCTAAAAATTAGTTTGAAGCTAAAAAAATACATAAAATATGTATGCAAAATAGGCTTCATGTGGAATTATTTACATTCTGTTACATTTTGCTTAATACACAGATCATTGCTAAGAGAATAGTGTTAAAACAGTTGACCTGCTAAAGCAAAAAGATGCAGCCGTTTTTCACTCAAGATTATTTGTTTAGCCATGTGTTTAGTTCTGCTGGTGAAGACGTGAAATGTGCATTTTGGTGCTGCTCGTTCCCATGAGCGCTCTGGCATTTCCTTAAAGCTTGACTAATACATCACACTGTCCCATTCCAGGATGTACTGTGGCCAATGGATTAAACACAAACATGCATACAGCTGTTTAAATTCACAGGCCCACACACAGAGGACATCTGGATAGTTGCAGACTGCCACCTAGTGTTAGAAAGACACCACAGTGAATAAACAGTACAGAGGAGGTGGTATGGGGATGTTCGGGGTTTTGAAGAAATTTGAAACTGTCTTCTGACAAATTACTTAACAAAGGTCAAACTTGAGAAAAATATTTATTGAATGCATTTTTCTTTCTATATAAAATGCCATTAGGCGAGAAAAGAGTGTGTTGAAGATCTCGCAGTTGGAATCCCATTTAGAAATACATTCAATTTCATAGAAAACTATAATGTGCTCAACACTTCACTCAGTCTGGTCATAATTGTTAAGATTTTTCATTATTTAGTGCATCATTTTCTCAAGGTTTGAGATAAACCATGTGCTTAGAAGAGCTGGTATACACTTATCAAGTCTGAGAAAATAACAGTAACGATTTAGAGGGGAATGAAAGAAAAGCAAAAAGTAGGCAAAAATTAGGATTCTGCTGAGGATCTAATTCAATCACAGTACAAATGTATTGTGTTTGTGTGTGCACTGTGCAAATGTGCAAAGATGAAAGACATCATTCTTAAACAGTGATTCCTTTTTTCTTTACACAGTCTTTTGCTGAAACCCTCTCATTCATATACTTTTAATAAACTAATATTTCTCTTTGATAAACTGTCAATCTGAAGCCTTTTCTTACAAACGAATCGACCGTATGTACCAAAGGTCAAGTGCAGCTATTTTTGTACATGTGATGATGTGTCTCGTCTAAATTGGGTGTTTTAGCTGCACTAAAGAAAAATCACTGCTGAGGAATGAAGAGGATGAAGGACTCAAAACAACTTTTACAAGAATTATCTCTGCCACATTATGCTTTTTAAATTACCAAACAAAAAAGGCTCATAGATCATGCCAACAAATCAAATTACAAATGTGATTTCCATGGCATAAAGTGTTACATTTTAAGCAA